AATTCTCTTAAATGGTCATAGGCTAAAAAAAGGTTACACATTTTTTATGATAGTGAGTGTAAAATCCTGTAAAATTGTCAGTAATGTTTACAGACCATTGGTCGGGTTTTCAGAGCAAATGTAGTAGGTTAGTGATAAGCACTTCTGCCTTGCAGCACTGGGGGTACCTGGTTTGAATCTCAATCAGGGCACTAGCTGCATGGAGTTTGCATGTTCTCCTGTGCTCGCGTGGGAGTCAAGCCACACTCCAAAGACATGCCGATAGGGTAATTGGCCCTGTGTGTATGTGAGATAGGAACCTTAGATTGTAAGCTCCTTGATGGTAGGACTAGTGTGAATAAATAGTATGTAAAGCACTGCATACGCCGTCAGTGCTATATACATGCCTGTAATAAATACAACTCATATTTTTATCAGTGTTGTGGTTTAAGATTTTCTCTCACTTCCATTCTGGTGAAACCTTTGTCAGTGGGAGAATACGTCTCTAATGAAGCCCTGAATAGGTACAGAAATCAGACAGGGGTTCATGCTGTTTAGCATGGGTGGGGGAATCAAGTCTTTTTTCTCACTCAGCCCCGCTTGGCCATACACAATAATGATTTGGCCAACTTATCAATGCATGAGTACCCACAGTCCAGATATGTAAAACTTGACTACACCTTACCATAATCATAATATATCACTGCTGCTCAAACAAGACGCTGAGGTTCCTATTTTTAAAGCACTGCATAGTAAGGGTTAAAATTGTCTTTTAGGGATTTTTTCATTTTCCATGTCTACTTTGCTGAATATTCCCCTCACATCCTGTGTGCTCACAAGGACAGGAAGGGAGCAGACTTTCTCCAATAGGGGCACAATACCTATATAAAAAGGGCTAAAGGCTCTGTCTGGCTTTTATTGATATCTTAAAGGAGAACTATGAGGAGTGCTTTTCACTCACCTCATAGTTCTAGCCGACCTGTGACAAAACTTTAATCTCTTTTGGAGATGTCTCTCCTCTCTTTCTGTGAGAGTAACGAGAAGTTTCCCCAATGCTGACACAGAGAGCCATCAAAATCTGAAAGACAATTAAGACCTTCAGACGGGTGATCTGGGGCAGGTAGTTGCAATTTTAAATGCTGCCTCTGGACACAGCTGCATTCTGTGCTTTGGATGCATACAAACAGGCTGATCAGCTGTGGCCAGTTTATATGTGGCCAGAAAAGCAATCCCTAGATGCGTCCAGGGACAGTTGGAGGCTCTATTGGTATGTACCCCCTCAACAGGGACAGTGCCAACCACTAATTGATACAGAGTACAAATCTGACAGCCGCCGCTGTTCAAACATGTTGTGCACATGCATTTAGCTTGGCCTGAAAGAATCAGATTCTCGCCGGCAGTCACCCACATGAATGAGGCTTCCCCACGCTATCTGAAACTAAAAAAATTAAGTTTTAACTAGAGTTCTGGAAATTAGAACATTATGAACATGGCGGGATGCTTGCAGTAAACACAACCGGTGGGACAGAATTGCATTTTTTTTGCGACCCCCCTGGAAAGTGCCACCCAAGGTAAATGCCTAGTTTGCCTTGCGGTAGATACACCCCTGACTGTACGCCCAAAGATTTTCCATCTGGCTCCTTTGATTTCCTGATAACAGGATGCCGGACAAGAGAGTGGCGACAGGGCCACCCACTGTGCGCATTTCAGTCGGTTCATGAAGAAGTGACTGAAATTTGTACCATGTATAATGGGCTTTAGTAAACTCTCCTAACTGTATTTCTGCCACATCAACAATTACGTTTCTGTACTTGCAGGGATAAAAGATGGGGACATGTATTAGAGAGATGTACTAGATATGTTTTTTTTTTTTTTGTTTTTGCCTTGACATACGCTTAAAGTGCAAAGTGCACAGAGTAACCAATACCAATCCATCTTGTCCTGGTCTATCTACAGCAAAGTAAATCCTGGCTGCTTGCCAAGCCCTGCTCATCACTGTGTTTTGTGATATATGTCATATTAGTTAAAAGTGCATTTCCAGGGAAAACCTCTTTTTTAGATATGTTCAGACTGAGGAAGGGGCACATCCTCTGTCAAGTCGTTGCTGTTGGTCTCCCCATTAGGGAGGTTCACTCCTTTTCTGTGCTGATGACCATTGTCCCTGGGATAAAAGTGAGGGGAAATCCAACATTTTAGAGTTGCTCCCAGAAGAAAAGGTGAGGGGAAATCTCTGAATGTGGACACCTGTTTCAGGGACAATTGTCTTGGGGCCAATTCACACCAGCCTCAAGGCTAAATGCACAGTGGCTGGTGTGCATTGCTCAACACAGTGCCGATGCACCGCTTTCAGCACATTGTACCTGCGTACTTTTTTTTGGGGTAGAACTTTATTGAAATGTTGCAAGTGACATTTCATTCAGTTCTTTGGACACAGCAGGGTGAGAGGGGTGCATCCCACTGTGCAGAAAAAAGTACAGACTGCCGTCTTGCAACGTAGCACACCTGTGCAGCCCCAATGCATATGGTGTGAATCGGCCCGGAGAGGGGAATTCCCCTTACTTTGGGAGATTCCTCTAACTTCCTGTTGCATCTCTGGGACAGGAAGTGAAGGGAAAATTCCCAGTACACAGACAACAAAAAAAATAACCTAACCTGAGATTTTAAGCCTCCCAACACAAAAAAAAAAACACAAAAAGATACATACACTTTAACAAACCCAACATTGTCTGATGACTTTACTAATAGTATCTAAAGCTAAACCTTTTTTTCCATTTTGGATAGATTATGGAATGGTTAAAACCCCGTCAGCCTTCTTTCTGCCATCTGTGCCCCGTTGGGGAGATTTTCCTGTAGGCACACAGAAAGTGAGAGGAAATCTGCCCAACGTATGGGAAAATCCTCTTTTACTTGTCAACGGTACAAATGACTCGGTGAAAGATTTCCCTTTTATTCCCCTCCTGGTGACAACTCCAACATTCTGGATTTCACTTCACTTTTAATCCCAGGGACGATGGTCGCCTCAAAAGATACAGTAAAGACGGCAATAAAAACCTGACAGGGGTCCTAATTATCCCTCTCTCTATTTAGAAGTAAAAACAAAACGTTTTGGTTTTGGAAACAATGTAAAACACCCATCAAGTATACAAACACATAGGGAGCCTAATATTGCAGGAAATATCTGTACATTAACAACATCGTCTGGTCATTACACGCTATTATAAAGGGCTGCGCAAACTGTTGGCGCTATAGAAATCCGGTATAATAATTGGCAATTTGGAAACTTAAAGCAGAACTCTGGCCAGAAATGTTTTTAACCCTTGCAGTGGGGCTACCACCGCACTGCAAGAGTTAACTGCATGTTTTTCTCTAGGTGCTAAAAAGAAAAAGTTACACTCACCCGAACCTCAGAGCCGGCAGCCCTCCCTCCAGCAATGGTATGCCCCTCGGCGTATAGGAGGTGATAACTCGAGGACTCCTAGACCACTGCAGGGAAATGGGAGAGACGCTCCAGGGACCAGTCTAAGAGCCAGCCGGATCGGAAACTCAGTTAAGTATAACTTTTTTTTTTTTTACCCTAGAAATAAAATGAGCAGTTAACCCTTGCAGTGCGGGAGTAGCCCCACTGCAAGGGTCAATACTATTTCTGCCCTGCTCTTCTTTAAATAGAAAAGTAATGTTAGGCTACATTCACACTGGAACGACTGCGTTTAATTTATATAGAAGCAGGAAAAATGATCTGGAACGTTTGAACACACTTTTTGTGTCCCCGATCAAGTTTTCCTGCGTTTGGTTCACCCCGCCCTTTTTGCGGGTCTAGCCACAGTCGTTTGCATTTAGCATTTCTAATGGGCCCCTGGACACCCAGAATTCTGTTTTCTCTGAAAGCAGCTCAAGTGAAGGCACCTAAACGCACAGTGCGAATGAGACCATTAAAAATCATCCTAAGCATTTCTATGCATTCAGAAATATCCTATAAACACATAAATGTCAGTGTCAGTGTGAATGGGGCACTTTTCTATCTTCAGATCACTGTATCATATAGTCATAAATGGTCTGGTCTGGTCACCTGTATATAGTAATTTAAAGGCTCATGCAGACAGCTATAAAAAAATGTTGCACTTTTAAAAGCACAGGGTTTTGGGGGGGGGGGTTT